TGACTCAAATTGTTCCCCTCTCTGCCCATGTCACTAAATGACCAAGTAAGTGCCAAAAATATTGACTTCAGGGTTACAAATAAATGTTAGTGAGTAAGCAAAGTGGCAAATACAGAATCCATGACTAGTAAGGATCAAAGGGTACTTTGTTCATAGAACACATCTAAGAGCAAGCTTTGGGAAATTCGGACCTAGGTTTCCCAAGACAGGTAGTTGGTCTCTTTGGTTTGAAAACTCTATGAAGGGATTCCACAATGCCATGTGCAAAAGGTTTTTTGCCTGTATTCTCCAAATTTCCCTCAATAAACTTGAACTGCTTTGAAAGAAACTATTTTTAAAACTAAAAAAATACTCATCTATAGATGTTTGTTCCCCATGTTGTCTTCCTACAACTTTGGAAATTCTGTTTCCTTTGTGTCTCTCACATCACACCCTCTCCCAACACAGACCTCTGGGTCTTATCAGAGCTGCACAGGTGGGAGGGCTACCTGCAAGCTGGAGACTTTCCACAATGCATGGCATCCTGCAGCACAAGGGGCTCCACAGGCCACACATCCTATTTCCTACAACTCAGTTTTCATATCAGCCAGACTAAAGCAATGTCTTCTGAATTCATCCACATGGTCTGGGAAGAAGAAACCACCCAATCAAATCCCTCTGTACCTAAAGGAGGTGGAAGAGTGACAGATGAGTCATCATCATCTTAAAAATGATGGCCAGGCGCAGTGGCTCAGCCTGCAATCCCAACACTCTGAGAGGCTGAGGCAAAAGGATTATCGCAAGTGATCCTCCCACCTTGGCCTCCCAAAGTACTGGGTGCAAGACCAGCCTGGGCAACTTGGTTAGACCTCATCTCTACAATAAATCACAAAAACTAGCCAGGTGTGGTGGCGTTCGTCTGTAGTTCCAGCTACTTGGAAGGCTGAGGCAGAAGAATTGCCAGAGTCCAGCAGGTTGAGGCTGAGGTGGCTGTGAGTATGCCACTGCACTCTAGCCTGGGCAACAGGAGTGAGATTTCAGCACCCCCCCAAAAAAATAAATTGTCACAGATATGATGAAAATAAAATGACTGAAATTCAAAAGAAAACATCTGCAGCAAAAAGTAGCACTGATAGACTATAAAGTGCTCCTGTGAAATGGAAGAACACTGGAACCCCAAAAGGCAAAGGACACAAATCAAACTCTAGAAACAATCAGGCAAGACAATCATGGGGAAATGGTCAGCACGGATGAACAGTGCAGGAACTCAGCCTCAGGTAACACACCAACAGAAGGAAAACAGGATTCATACAAAGACGTCTATGCCAGCCTCATGTACAAGAGAAAATGCCATCCACGCCTGCATGCTCAACAGCAGATATGTGCAGACAAATAAATTATATGCGTATCGTCCAAACAGAGCATTTAAAGGTCAATAAAAATAATCATGAAAATCAGATGGCAACACACAGAAACATTAATAATACATCAGATTTTAAAAGTCAAATGGCAAAATTATACCTAGGGTGTGATGACAGCTGTGTACATTATTTATGCACAATGCTATAGTCTGAAAAGGAGCACAGGAAAAGGAAAACACAGAGAAATGGCAACAGCTCCTCTGTTAGGGTGGAGGGACTATGCAGAATACATTTCTCACATTTCTATTTCTTCCTGTTCTGTTGTACTACTGTTATCCATGGAATGGCTGAAGAAATACTATTCAGTGCCCTTAAAAATATCCACGATGTAAGCCGGGCTCGGTGGCTCAGCCTGTAATCCCGTGCCTTTGGGAGGCTGAGGTGAGTGGATTGCCTGAACCCGCGGGTTCGAGACCCGCCTGGGCAGCGAGACCTCATCTCTACAATAAAT